TAAGTACAGCGAGGAAAACTCACCTCACAGTCTGACGAGTAGCTGAACAAGATACTGATCCGATACCGGCTCTACATGTCACTTATTCAACAGATAGAGACCAAGGCGTATTTGTAACGCCCGCAGATCCGGGCTAGTAAATTTAGAGACGATGAGCATCAAAAATGAGTTTTTGATGGAAGATTATTTAAAAGGATTAATCTTAACCAAGTTGTAGTATGTGTTACAAGGTTTTCGTACATATAAAGAACGCCGAAATCCGAGTTATAACGAAGAAGTTATGGCCCGTCGAAGTTTTACGGCAAAACCGGCACGACACCGGGAGACGTAAATAGTGAATTTACGGTAGAGGACTTTTTAGCCTTAGTGATCTAAAAAAAATTTGTAGAATACGTTAAACCAAGAACATACAAAAAAATGCCCAAATCTGACTTCGTATGAGGAAGTTATGAATTTTCTAAGATTTGGCATAGTAGTGCACGACCCGAAACTCAAATTTTAGTTCGAGCGGTTTTTGGCCTACGCAACCTAAATGAGAGTTGAAGATCTCATTAATATGAACTCAATGGTAAAAAGACAGACGAAAATGGAGTCTGTATGTAGAAGTTATGAATTTTAGGCGGACATTTAACAGTCTAATATCCTCCTACTGTTAAATTTAAGATCGGTCGAGAATTAGCCGACGGAGTCTAAATGAAAGTTTTAGATTTTGTTTTTACCTAGGCGTGGATATAAAGAATGTCGAGAGTAGAGCTCGTATGTTAAAGATATGGACGAAACTTGGTCCCTACTCTTCGAGCGCGATAAATTTGATACAGTTTTGTAAATCTGAGATAAAATGAGAATTAAATGACAACGTCTAAATGAAAGTTGTAGTACTCATAAATACCAACGTGTGGATATAAAGAACGTCAAAAATGGAGTTCGTATGAACGAGTTACAAATTATAATAGCATATTTACGTATTAAAATAAAGTATAAATCATATATACGTACATATAGATATATATATATATATATATATAATATATATATATATATATATATATATATATATATATATATAAATGTATATATCATTAGAAAGTATCGACGATGCGGTTATTATAAGACTAGTGTTGAGTACTTTCGACATTAGTTTAGTACAAATATTGTTAAATCTATTTAAAATAGTATTATGAAGGGGTGTTTAGTCCTTTATATAACTATAAGGTCATTAAGTAATTATGGAGGATAGTTTTTGTAAATTCTATTACTATAAATAAAAGGCTTGGCCTCTCATATTTCTTGCACCATTCTCTTGATTCAAGAGTCTTTCTCTTCTTATCCCCCGAACATTTCGATTCCTCGTGATTCGACTTCTCTTTCTGTAGTTTTAGTATAGTAAGGTGAGCGCTGAAGCGCTGCATGAATCTTTCTTAGAAAGATTCAGCGACGAAGTTATGCCCCTGCAGAGCCCGACTCCTAGCTAAAACCCCATTGTAAGTAAGTTATGCTTACCCTATTTTAAATATAGTTTATATTTAAAATTAGTATTGTTATTATATACTTATAATAAATATTTGAGATATTATTATGACTTATATAAGTATCGTTATAATATATTTTTAACTACTCGCGGTACGGGGAATCTGGTTTAAAGGGCCGTATAGGGTTGTTGGATTTCAGAAGTGCTATATGCCAAAATGGTCCTGCCCTCCGGTGTTTTATGTCTAGCCCCTGTCTGTACATAGTGGTTGGAAAGTATTGTTTAAACGCTTATATAATAATAATAATAATAATAATAATAATAATAATAATAATAATAATAATAATTAGTCACGGTAAATATTAGACTAAAATCTAGTGGTAATAATACTAGGTTTCGTCGAAGGAAATTATTTTAAAGTAAACGAAGTGCTGTCCGAGTACCGAGTCACCACCTTATCAAGTGAGTGCATAGTTACTTTCATCTTACATATAGATATGAAGTATTTAATATAAATTACGTGCTATGTGTGCATATTATCTGTGTTCTTGATATCTATGAGGGACGAACGATTTATACATGCTTTAAATGATTTAAACCGTATATGTATTTTATATACGAAAATATTGGGTAAACCATGGGTAGATGAAATAGTTAATGTGTGATAAAATGATGAGAGGCCTCAATGTTTAAGATGACCTAGCCATCTAGCGGAGTATAGATGACGACCACGGACTATTCTAGACAGTCCAGTGGAACACTATCAGGCTCGTAACTTGTAGGTGTTTTTGAACTACGTATTCACTAGGTATTTTTGAACTAAGTGTTCAACATATGTTTTGAACTAAGTGTTCACCATATGTTTTGAACTACGTGTTCACCATATGTTTTGAACTGCGTGTCTACCAGATGTACCCTGTTGTATAAACCTTGGCGACTATACAACTTAGTGCCTGTTGTATAAACCCTGGCGACTATGAGACTTAGTGTCTAAACCCTGGCGACTATGCGACTTAGTGCCTGTTGAGTAAACCCTGGCAACGATGGATTTCGTGCCGATTCCTTAGGATGATCCTTAGGAATGAATGAATGAGGCATAACTAATTCTTAGGGTAGATCCTTAAGAGTAAAGAAGATAATGAGGATGAGTAATTGGGTTGATTGTTTGATGTTTAAACATAATAATTATATTATTGTGGGTTGAAAACCCTATGTACTCACCAGGTTTCCCAACCTGACCCACTCAAGTTTATTTGAATCACAGGTGCCGATACGAAGTAACATTACACTGAGAGATTAAAGAGGTGTAGATCAGTAGTGTAAATGAATGTGAGTTCTGTTTATGCTTATGTTTCTGTATTGACAATGACATCCCAAATGTTTTAAAATGAATAAAAATACATTTCTTCGGAAATGCTTTGATAACGTATTTATCATGTTTTCCTGTGAACAAATTCCGCAACATTTTTATTAAAAGAAGTACTCTGATTTTTATAAAGCATAAACAAAAATCGGTCTTTTCTGGCCGTGAAAAATAGGGATGTCACAATATCTATAGCTCAAAATACCCAAAATACCCAAAATACCCTTAGGTCAAACTTGGTCAACCCAGGTCAAAGTCTAAATCAAAGGGTCAAAGAGTCATTTTGGTCTACACAGCCGAGTATGCGGGGTGTACTCAGCTCCTACGATGAGCGTACTCGAGCTTGACCGGAATCGGGGAGTGGACCGCGTACGCGCATCGTACGCTGAGGTACGCACGACGTACGCTCAAAACCCTATATTCTCAATAAGTGCTTAATACATTAAGCACTCACATCTAAACTTCAGATCCAAGGCTAAAATACCACTAACAGTCATAAAGTTTCCAACTTTATGACTTTGCATGTCCATAAAGTGCTTAATATACAAAATCCCAACATCTTAATGCCTTAAGACCTTCTAGAGCATGCATGGAGCATAAATAAGCATCAAGATGACATTTTATGACTCAAGACTCCTCATAAGGTTTGAAAGGACAACTTGTTTGGTTAAGAACATGCCATGCTCAAAAGTCACTATATTTGGGACCAAAAGTGCTCTTAATGAAGAAATAGCTAGTTCTAAAAGATAGAGTGATCAAGTTGTGAACTTTTTACCTCAAAGAGGTTGCTAGCAAGTATGAGATCCCAGATCTAAGTTGCTTCCAAGCTTCAAGGTTCTTGCACCGATTTCTCCTTCTTCAAGAACACCAAAAAGGCACACAAATGAGCTCAAAACACTCTTCTCACTTAGGGTTTGCTAGAGGGTCGAAATCTCAGATGGGGGTTGATGAGAGAATGATAAATAAGGCCATAATGGTGTTTGTATATGGACCAAACCCTAAAAATTAGGGTTTGAACTTCCTCCACATACGCCCTACGTACTAGGGTTCGCTAGTACGCCCAACGTACTACTCTTCTAGCTAAATTTACCAAAATGCCACTATGGGTCATTTTTGCAAACATTCTCAAGCACAAGGGTCAAAATGCAATATTTATTCATACATAGGGTTGAAACTGAAATTATCTCAACATCGGGATGTTACATTTTAGTACCATGAGTTGCATCACAAATTCATTGGTATCCTTTTTAGAAAAGTTCTAATACCCTTTAATGAAAATAAAGAAAAAATAACAGGGGTTTTGGGGCTTGATCACTACCATACGACCAAACCACAACTTTAATCTCCTTGGGGTGAACCATTACTCAAACATTTAATATGCCATGGAAATAATGCCTTGAAAATCATTGAATTTTGAAACAAAACACATTATTGACATGTCATGGATTAATGTTTCACCCTCCTTCCACTATAATTCACCGTATAGTCGGCCAACAATGCATTTCTATTTCTATTGATCATCCAATGATGTGGTCCTCCCTCTTTGATGTAGTTCTATAAATTATAAGATTTACAATTAAAAGACTCCTAGCCTAACGGTGTTGTGGTCATCTCTCTTTGAGGTTGAGTGTTCAAGTCAGACGTAAATGGATTTAAAAGTATTTTAAAAATATATTTGTTCAAAATAAAATAAAAATAAAAAAAAATAAAAAAAAAATTTACAACCCAAACCCACGGATCGTCTAATGCAATATAAACCAATTATATGGAAACACAAAGTCACAAAGCACGAATCTAGGGTCAATTTCAACACCTTATTTTACAAGTTAACTTGCTTTTATTCCAACTTATGCTTTACTCCATTAGTGTTTTCAACTCTAAAAATACTTTAAAAAGAAGAACACTTCCTGATGTTGTTGTCCACTCGCCACCTCAATCTACGCAATCATCTACTCCCATTCAATTAAAAAACTCTCAATACCCCCCCACCTTCCTCCTTTTCATGCCCTAAAAATACTACTGTCTTGTCTCGTTTCTTTTTTTTTTTCTTGATAAACAAAAAACGATCTCTGCTTTCGCCCACCGAAAGCCCACTTGGAATTTGAATTGTATATGTCTTTATTCCGGTATTTCCCCATCGATTGAAAAACCATTGTCCGAAGGTCAAATATGTTTCCTGTTTTGAGCAATCAAGTCAACTCAAATTCAACTAATTTCTCCACACCAGGTTCATTTTCTTGATTTCCTTTCGCAAAATTTCGATCTTTATTGTTTTCTGGAACATGGGTTTCTGTTAATTTGCGATATTCAAGGGTTTGATGTGTTGTCGATTCAAAAAAATCGAAACTTTCGTCTACCCAAAGCCCTAGATGTCAATTTTCGGTAAGAATTTCAAGAAACATGCTAATGTTTACTCAGGGAGGATATACAATAGCGATAGAAAGTGGATAATCCCTTTTTTTGTGAGCTTGCTCGTATGGATTACGCTAATTTCAGCCGCCATTTTTGGGTTTTATTCATCATCATCATCATCCTCATCATCGTACAATCACGATTCATCCCATTTCGATATAGTTTCTTTTGCAAAATCAGATGATTCTAGTGGGTTTTTTGTCGACATGAATATAGAAAAACCTAGTGAATTCCCCAAAGAAAAAGCCCCTAGATTAGCTTACCTTATTTCAGGTACGAAAGGTGATAGTAAGAGAATGATGAGAACATTACAAGCTGTTTATCATCCAAGAAATCAATACATCTTGCATATGGATCTTGAAGCTCCACCTCGAGAAAGATTGGAGTTAACAATGGCTGTTAAAAACGATCCAACTTTTTCTGAAGTTGAGAATGTTAGAGTCATGGCTCAGTCTAATTTGGTGACATATAAGGGCCCCACAATGATAGCAACGACCCTTCAAGCTATTGCTATTTTGTTGAAGGAGAGTTTGAATTGGGATTGGTTTATAAATCTTAGTGCTTCTGATTATCCTCTTGTGACACAAGATGGTGAGTTTGAAATTTCCATATCATTGGTTGGTTTATTATCATTCAACTCAATGACATTTATAACTTTGATATTTGGATGCTATTTGTTTAGGTGTTTTACATTCAACGTTTTTCTTCGTAGACATAATGATGCGATTTTGTGTGGAAAAATAGAAAAATGAAATGATACCCATAAAATGAATAATGTAGGTAGTGAATAGTGATGCTTTTTTACCTTTAGATACTTAGGTGTTGTTTATTTTTGACTTATTAGAGACTTAATAGTTAATACTATATATGTCTGTTTCTTTTTTGACTTAATGCAGAAAGAACGACTTAATAGAGAAAATCCTCATTTCCCTTACTTTCTGTGTTATGTTTTTTCTTTATGTATTAAGACAAAAAGAAACACTCATATATAGCTTATAGTATTAAGTTTGTCTCCATTAAGTCCATTAAGTAAAAAGAAGCAACATTGTAAAAATGATCTTAGGATGATTCTATCTTTATTCTTTCACACATCATTGTAAAAACAAGAAACTTAAAAAAACAAATAATGGTATTCTTGTAGTTTGTCAATTTGGCTACATCTACATGTGTTGCTAGAATAGTAGAATATTATTATATTTTTTGTTAGGCTTAAATGGAAGAAATAACAACATACTTTCATTTGTTTATTTATTACATCATTCTACTTTCATTTTATATGTTGTTAATTATTACATTTTAATTACATTCTAATAAATTGCTCTTGTTTTAATCATCTAGATCTACTTCATGTTTTCTCTAATTTGTCAAGAACTCTCAACTTCATCGAACACACAAAGCTTTCAGGATGGAAATTGTAAGAAACAACAATGTACTTTCATAGATTTGATTATTATTATTATTATGATTTTTAAATCTTGCAAAAAATAATGATAGTTTTTTATACGTATTTTTTTGTAGAAATCAAAGGGCAAAGCCGATTATTGTGGACCCCGGTCTTTATTTGTCAAAGAAATCGGATCTTGCAATCACTTCACAAAGAAGATCTCTTCCTACATCTTTTAAATTGTTCACTGGTAAGATATCTAATTCTTGATATAATAAGTTAAAAAGACAAATTACAAAAAATAAATCATTTTACTTTCATCATTTTATCGATTTAGTCAAGTTGCTAAATAAATATAATGGTGAAAGTACTAGTGCTTTTCTGCATTTTGCCCCAAGTTATAAAGCTCTCTGCATCTTCTAATGAAAATGAGAATTAATGTATGTTGACTTTGACTTTTTGGTTCAAAATTATAAATTCAAAATTGACATGGATTTTTCAACCTTCTCTATAAAATTTTGATGGTTATACTATATTTGAATATTATGGTAAAATATATTAACGTTGGTGATAGCTTTGATTTCAATAGCCATATTAATTTCAAATTTGAAAAGTAGTTTTTAGTTTTACTTTTACCTAATAGTCAACATTTACATCTCTTTGTAAGGAAGGGTGTCATAAAAGCTTTGTACTTTATTCATGGGTCAAAACTTTCTACCAAATACAAAAGTAGTCCCTGCAATTTGTAAATTTACAGAAAAGGTCTCTGTAAACTTTCTTCTTTTTTTCTACAAAAACAGTCCATATGTTTAAGATTTTTGTATGTTGGCAGGTTTGACCCCTGTGTAGAAAATAAATTACAAAAATTGTCCCCGTAATTTCTAGAAAATGTTGTGTCTTTTGTTTTACAGAAAGGGTCCATATGTTTAAAAAAAATTACAAAATTTTTCCCCGTAATTCACAGAAGATATTATTGTGTAATTTTATTTATTTATTTAGAGAAACGGTCCATATGTTCAAAAAACTTACAAAAATAGTCCCTACCTAATAGAAAATTTACAGATTTAGTCCCTACACTTTCATACGTGGGCAACTTTGGTCCCCCCATTAGCCCTAAAAACAAATAAAGACAAATTCTAAATAAGTTAGGACTTAAACGCAAAAACCCTCATGATTCCTTTCACAAGTTAATAAAAGAAACACTCGTATTTTTCGAAAGCTAGCTGAAAAGTTAGCTAGATTAACTCTGTGTCTCCATTAATGTTATCTTTGGCGTACTAGCTGAAAAGCTAGCTGATAGCTGAAAAGCTAGTTGTTAAATAAAAAGTTAGCAGATAAAAAATAACCTTTGGTAAAACTAACTGAAAGATATAAAATGACATAAAAGGACATTTAAAAGAATATGTTTCTATAATTATTTAAGGTATATATTTGGAAAAATTTTAAAAAGCTCCTAAAAGGTTAGTCTAAGTAGCTTTTTAAAAAGCTAGCTTATAAGCTATTTTTTGGCTTGCCAAACATAGCAACTTAAAAAACTCGAAAAATAAGCTAGTTTATCAGCTAGCTGTGGCGCACCAAACACAGCCCAAGTCCATTAAGTTAAAAAGTAACAATACCTTACAATCTTTTTTTTTTTTTTTTTTTTACTATATAATAGGCTCCGCATGGGTAATGCTAACAAGATCATTTGTGGAATATTGCATTTGGGGATACGATAATTTTCCAAGAACTATCTTAATGTACTACACAAACTTTGTGTCTTCACCCGAAGGCTATTTCCACACAGTCATTTGCAACACCGAAGAGTTCACAAAAACCGCAATAAGTCACGACCTTCATTACATCGCATGGGACACGCCTCCAAAGCAACACCCGCGTTACTTAACCATTAAAGACTTTGAAAAAATGGTGAATAGTAGCGCGCCATTTGCAAGAAAATTTCAAAAAGATGATGTGGTTCTTGACAAGATTGATCAAGAACTTTTGGGTCGAACCCATCGGTTCGGTCGTGGTGCGTGGTGCGTCGGTGGCTCGGACCGTGGCTCGGACCCGTGTGCGGTTCGTGGTGATGATTCGGTTTTTAGCCCGGGAAAGGGTGCGGTGAGGTTGAATGAGTTGTTTGTGGAGCTTTTGTCGGATGATTTTGGAAGTAAAACGTGTCCTTCGTGAAGAGGGGGTAGATTTTGGGAAAGTGTACATTGTTTTTTATAGATTGAAAGTTGATTTTTTTTTTTTTTTTGGTAAAAATTGCAAGTTGTAAAGTTTAAAGAAATCAATGCAAGTATCTTTTCTTAATACGGGTTGAGGCCCTTTTTGTTTGTTATGCTTTTGTTACATTGGACACTATACAAGTTTTGGATATGAGGGTGTAAAATGTAAAGCTACATCTACATGTTATAAATATTTATTTATTACGAGTATTCATTCCATAAATTGGTGTTATAAACAATGATTTAATCTGTTTTTTAGTTGATCCGGTGTGGATTCAACCTATTTAATTTTCAGGTCAATCTGGTTTATAGAATTTTCATAATAAATAGTTTTAAGATATTATTTGTTTTAAAATGAATATAATATCTTACTAAAACACATAAATTAATGAAAGAATTTTAACAATTCATTAGATATTTTGAAAAAATTATATTTTTTTATGTCATAATCTCATTTTAATTTGTAAGAGTTCTTTTGTCCAATAAAAAAATCACTACTTTACGTTTATATAAAGATATGGATGATGTGTGACGGTATTATATGACAAAGTGTAAAATAATATTGTTAAAGTAAATTACATTTTTGATACATGGGTATAGTTCACTTCTATAATATTAGCAATGTTTTAAAAACCGGTTGGACCTGGAATCGGGGAAGGGAGCGGTTCAACTATCACCGGTTTTATGTATATTTCTGAACCGGATCGAACCGGCCGGTTTTTACAAAAATCTGGTTGAGCCGGTTCAATTAAATCGGTTGAACCGGTTAAATTGAATAAAAACACATGGAATTGAAACATTTTGCATAATAAACTTTGGTAGTTTTTTCATATTTATTAAAAATTTTCTGAATAAAAGCACATGATAAATGTTATGAAGTTTTTTGATGTGTTTATATTTAATGCACGTGGATTGATGTAAAACTTATAGTTATGAGTTATTTTAATGTATTTAGATTGATCTACAACTTGTTTTCATGTGTATTTTAATGTTTGAACTTGTGCACATCAAATTCTTGATTTGTGTATGTATGTATGTGTAGGAAAATACGAAAAAAATGAAAATTATAGAAACCGGTTTACTCAGCGGTCGAACCGGTTGAACCGAAAACCGATCACCATACCGGTTCAACTAAAAAACCGGTTTTTAAAATATTGAATATTAGATCCAATAACTTCTTTTGTAATTCATCAAAAGGTTAAACATTAAAAATAACATAACCAAAGGTTTTGGGTTTGGGTCAATAGCTCAACCAGATTTTTAATAAACCCGGTTATTTCAGTCCAAGTCATATATAGATAAAAATCTGTTAATGGTTAACCCGTTTTTTCACAACGATCACAATCCAACCGATTCAACTCGGTTCAACTCATCAAATACTATAATATCATATTTGGTGTTATAATATTTATCATCACTAAATTTGGTGTTAAAAGCGTATAATGTCATTTGTAGTCCTTCCAATTTTATATGTATTTAGTTTATTTTAGTTATTTCAAATTTGAGTTTATATTTTTAATTAATCTAATTGTACAACAAATTTTCGATTATACATATATAAGTTGTTGAACTCTTCCTTACATTTCAGGTTTAGTCGTTTATAGGCATTCAAATAAAGAGCGATCGAATACATAATTTTATAGTTGCTATTTTGCTAAAAATTAAATGTTACATCAACATAAATACATTAAAATATCATATATCATTCCAATTCAAATTCAAGCACAATTCAAATCCAAGTAACTTTGAATAATCTCTTCTTGAGAAAGATCAGTAAAATACCCTTTCCCAACCACCACACCCTCCTCCAAACCCACCTTTTCAACCGCACCCTGAACCCTGTCACCACCAACCGCACCCGGGTCCAACAAATTACAAGCCACCTCAATAACCTCACCATGAACCAGAGCCATGGACTGAACCGAAGTGAGCCCACCCCCTCTCTGACTCACCCTTTTCGCAATCCTTCGAACCGTTGCCATGTCAGCGCTAAACACTGGCACGTTGTAGTTATCGACCCACTTGGTTGCACCGATTGTGATCACGCCTTTGGATTGAACCGCGTGGGCTGGACCATGGTCCGGTTTGAGTGGTAGAACCATGGACCGTGGTCCACCGGACCAGTGGTGCGTGGTTGTGTTTGGGTTGAAGTAGCCGAGGGACCTTCTGATGGAATCGAGGGTTCTTTCCGTGTCATGAGCAGCTCCATATGTGTAGGTTGGGACTGTAGGCTATGTTTGTATATATTAGCATAGCCTTTTGTTATGACAGTATTATACTGTATACTGTGTATTGTGTACTGTGTTTGACATGTAGTGGACTAGAATAGTGAGTTATGATGTGATTTGACAAAATGGTGGGGACATTTTTGTTCGCTATTATAGTATTGTATTTTGAATTTTTTTTTCTTATTAAGATAGTTTACTTGGAAGATATTTTACTTCGAAGTACAATGCAGTAATGGAAAAAAATGAAAGTAAGTTGTTATAATAAACAATTTAAATAAAAGTATTTTGTTAAATATAATGGTTGAAAAACTCCATCATTCATTTGAAATAGCATGAAATGATTATTGAAAATGCTTAAGCTTTGGTTTTAAAAAAAAAAAAAGCATTGATTTATTTGTTGGGAAATATGCAGAAACGTCTCATTATTTTGGGAATTTTTTTGATAAAGTCTTAAAAAGAATTTTGAACAAAAAAATCACGATTATTAATATTTTGCCCAAATTAACGTAAAAGTCTTTATTTTTATTTTAACATGAAAGGAAAATCCCCGATAAAGTCCCAATATTTTGGGTCGGTTTATGGTTTACTCCTAACTTTTATTTTTTTAACAGAAAATCCTGATTATTTTATATTTTTCCCAAATTAACGAAACAATCCTTATTTTTTTCGAACAGAAAATGTCAGATTATCGTATAAAATTAGATAATCGGGACTTTTTTTTTTTCAAAAAAATAAATGTTGGGATTAAACCATAATCCAAAATATTGAGACTTTCAAGGACTTTTCTATTAAAAAAAAAAAGGACTTTATCAAAAAATTTCTGACTTTGTATAAAATAAGACTTTTCAACATATTTCCCTTACGATAATTGATCCATAAACATTACTCCATATTAGTTAAGAAAGCAAACCTTTAAGTATGGATCCAATATCTACAGCAAGAGCTTTGGCAATTCCAGCAACTTGTTCAAGTGATGTTGAAGCTAATGGATGAAAACAGATATGATCAACAACACCAAGCCTCGGATGAGTTCCAGTATGCAACCCAAAATCAATGGCTTCAAAAGCCGATTTCACCATTGAGAAAACAGCATGCTTTAAGGGACATGAATCTGGAGAGTGTTTTGAGACAAGTGTGTATCCTACTCTGTTGTATTTCTCATCTTCAAATTTATTGACAATGGCTGCCCCTGGAAATAGTTTTGCAGCTTGTTCAATTGATTCCAGAGCAGATTTGTTTCGTGTCTCGGATATGTAAACTTTGCAACAGGAAAACATCGATTTAAGCATTTCTGTTCATAGGACCCAATGAACATTAATACGAATTGGGATGAGTAGCTTGAACAAACGGAATTGCGGGATTCATATTGCAAAAAAGAAGTGAAATTTAGTAATTAAAAGCACAGAAAGATGAGCAATGCTTACTGGATTCGTTCGACGATTGTTTTATTGTGTGTGAAGAACGATGATCGATTTGTTCGGCTCTTCAAAACCCTAAAAGTTTGGTGGAAATTGATACACAGCGGACATTATCAATCGTGGCCGGTTGTGAAGTAATGTGCAGCAGAAGAATTGTCTTCGATGGATTTGTGGGTGGGAATCATGAGTTCCCATATCCAATACCTCATCCCCAAATTGAATATAACAAGTTCAAATAAATAAATAAAAAGACATGTATGTCTAATTTTTAAAGAAATGATTAGAAGTTTACCAAGTTATCAAAATAGCTAATAATAATAATAAAATATAGACGAGATTGCAAAAATGATCTCTATGGTATGCATTTTTTTTGGGGTTTTAGTCCAAACCTCGATTTTTTTGGATCGGTGGTCCTTATGAGTTGGTTTGCTTGTAGTTTTGGTCCCTTGAAAAACTGAAAAGACTAAAATACAAAAAAATTCTCGAAATCTCTCTCTCTCTCTCTCTCTCTCTCTCTCTCTCTCTCTCTCTCTCTCTCTCTCTCTCTCTCTCTCTCTCTCTCTCTCTTCTCTCTCTCTCTCTCTCTCTCTCAAGATGTGTTGCATTATTTCATTAGTGTTCTTATTTTCAGCAATACTTCAAGCCAAGAATACCATCACTAAAATAAAACTCCAAGCTTTTAGTCCATGTCGTCGTCATCAGGAAGTTAAAATTAAAACACAGATCTCGAATATGTTCATACGAGGAGCTAGAAATTAAAAACAAAACTAAAAAATATCCGAAGAAATCAACATAAATTCCTAAAACTCCATTTATTTGTCAAACACATACATAAACACAACAAAACCATAAACTGAAAAAAAAACCACCTGCAATTTCATCTTCCTCAGACACCTCATCTTCAACGACGACTTCATTTTCGTCCCTAATTCAATCAGCGAGAACAAAAAAGCAAACCATGGTCACTTAAGCTGAATATTGAGTTGCTGGGATTTCAATTTTAAAACCAACAAAACACATATTTCTGGAAGAAATCAAAATTGATTTTGAAATCTAGCAAAATACAAAACACTGCATTCCTGGGATTTTGATTTTATAACCAGCATAACATATTTTTCATTTTGAAACCCAACAAATTGAGGGCACAGTAGGCAACGAACCCATTTGAAGAAAACGCAGGGGGTTTTGTAGACTAAATTCTTTAGCGTATTTCTCATCTAAAACATCATTCTCTCACCTTCTCTTTCTCCACCTCTCCCATTCGCATCAAAAGATAAAACCTCCGCCTCACCCACCTGTCACATCACATCATGTCATAAGATACTCCACCACCCCCAAAATCACTACAACCATCTCTGTCGGAGACAAACTCCCCGATCGCTGGTTGTATCTAGTCGGCACCGACGTGGGTACCAACGAATCTTGGAATGTGATTAGGGTTGAAGCAGCATCCGCTTTTTTCTCAAGAAATCGATGGTGGAGCTATGCAATTGATGAAGTCGGATTGGTGGTGGTAAGATTTGATGGTGAAGAAGGTTATGGTGGTGTTGGTATGCGATGGTGAGATTGAAGTGTGTATGTGTTTTAATTTTAGAGATTGCATGTATTGAGAGAGAGAGGAGAGAGAGAGAGAGAGAGAGAGAGAGAGAGGAGAGAGAGAGAGAGAGAGGAGTGAGGAGAGAGAGAGAGCGAGGAGAGTGAGAGAGAGGAGGAGAGGAGGAGGGAGAGAGAGGAGAGAGAGAGATTTCTTAACTTTTTAATTATAAAAATAGATAAAAAATGAAAGAAAAATGAAAAAGAAATACCTCAAGGGTATTTTAGTCTTTTCAGTTTTCCGAGGGACCAAAACTACAAGCAAACCAGCTCATAAGGACCACCGATCCAAAAAAGTCGAGGTTTGGACTAAAACCCCAAAAAAATGCATACCACAGGGACCATTTTTGCAATTTTGTCTAAAATATATTATTTTAATTATTTTCTTTCAAAACAATGTCAGTGTTGGTTGCATTTCTCATATGACGTCATATTTTATAGATGACGTTAATTTTGTAGATGTTATTTGCAAAATTGATGACTATTTTGATGATTGAAGTGTTTTTTTAAAATGATTGATGATATTAGATATATTTGTCTTTTAATCTTCATTTTATATATACCCACGTAACCAATCAAATTATCAATTGTCACAAAAGACCACTACGCTCGTGAAACACTTATTTTTATCTCAATTTATGCGGAAAATACAATCCCAATACGTTTTAAAATATTTAAATATATATTTGTGTAGAATCAGGTCCCAAAGTACAAAAATATTGAGTTTTGGTTAAACGTGCAAGATAATATTCAATTTAATAATCATCATACGTTTAAATACAACCTCACAAACCAAAGTCTTCAAAATATCTTTGCTATCTTTTAAGCAATTCCTAAGTCTTCAATCTGAATACAAGTCAAAATAATTAAGTAATAGAAGTGCCTAGTGAGAATATATGAGGTTGATTTATTTCGAAAAAGAAGGTAGCATTCTAACTTATTTGAATCAAACTTCCAAAATCAATATAAATAATCAAATACTAAAAATATTATAAACCAAATTGTAGAGTACTAAGACTTAAATAATCAAGAGCAAAGGGTATGTAAACCTATATAAAAAACAAGGATATAACATCCATGAACCAAAACCCTAAGAGTTTAATAACTCAAAATTTATATCTAAAGAAGGTATTATCCAAACCCAATATCAAGGGTTTACTAACCCACAACCGATAACAAGTGAATTAGCATTTCATAATCATAAACAAAAGGTTAATTAATAAGTATCTCATTCCAAATCAAATTAAGGTTCAGAAATGCCCAAACCAAACCAAAAAGGTATTATACTTTAATGCTACACACAGTTCTAAAAATAGGCGAAAAGGGTAATTGATTAGCAAAGATTTACAAAATCATATCAAACTCCCAAAAGGGTATTTAAGGAATAATTCAAAAGCTCAATATGTAATGCGTGCATCTATTCCCAACTCTTGTCCATCTTATAAAGTCCAAACTCCCAAAATAGTTAGGTTTAACTTGAGATTCACAAACGGTGAACTACCTTCCGACTTTTACCTCAAGCCTTAGACTCACGAGTGGTGGACTACCACCCAAATTTTGTCTAAGTTCCAATAAGAACTAGGGAACCATCAACCCTAGCTCACACAAGGGGTAACAAGCCTTTACTTATGCACATGAGGGTTATCTATAAATCTGTTAACAATAAACTAAACAAATAATAATCAAATTCGAGTACCTGAGATCTTTTAGTTAAACCATCCTAGGATGTATTCAACAAGTAGAATGCTCAAAACCATTTAAAAAATATGCATATATTTTCTTAAAAACAATGGATATCACTAAATGATTTCATGAAAGCAAATAAGTACTAAGGATACACACATAATAAGTAATGCAACAATAAACATGTCAAATGAAACCAAATTCCATGATATATATATATATATATATATATATATATATATATATATATATATATATTAAACTTAAAAAACATTTAACTATTTTAGGAAAAAAAGTCTTAAATTTAAGTAGTACAAAATATGAAGAATGAATTACAATTACTTAATGCATAATAGAATACATACGGACATTATAAATATTATTAGCTGGAAGACATAACTTTTGAAATGCTCAGTCAAACAAAATGTAAGGCCCCGTTTGATAGTTGCTGATTGAGAAAGGTCTATCTGGGTAAGAAATCCTAACTGAGTAAGAAATCATGTTGTTTGATTGTACATCTGACTGGATGTGCTGAATGATGAAAAATGACCATTTTACACTGCTGCTCTATATAGTGATGGATGAAATTGTTGAATAATTATAAAAACATACAGATTGTCATACAAAATATAAATTATACACAAATCATTTAAAAATCCAAATAAAAATTGTCATACAAAATGTAAATTAAACATAAATAATTTAATATCAAATAAAAACATAATGAAATTTAAAATAACATAATAATTTAATGTAAAGTAGGTGAAAGTAGTTACTTTGTAATCTGATCATGCAAAACACGCATATATCAAACGGCTTCTGGACCCCATTTTATGCCTTGTATGTTTTCTCTATCAATTCCTTCACCTTGGACGTCAGAAATAACCAAAGTGTTCTCCTCAAAAATTTTAAACAAGTCGTCTTGTATATTGTATTTCCTTATAAAATTATGGACCGTGACACAAGCAATGACTATGTCTCTTTGTACTGTAAAAAGATAAGGAGTCATCTATTTTAACATTGGGAGTCTTGCCTTCAATACACCATAAGCACGCTCAATAACATATATAAGTTGTGCATGAGCATGATTGAACCTTCTTCTCTAGTTAAAGGTCAACTTCTTCGAAAATCGGCTAACCAATACCTAATATTACGGTACAGATCCATAAACTCACGAGTGTTTGTATATGCGGCGTCACAAAGGTAATATTTATCTGAAAATGAGTGTGACATATATTATATAAAGAAGATATATAATAAAATTTATATAAAGATTACAAACCTGGTGGAGGAAATGGAAATCCAAAAGTCGGATTGAATGCAACTTCTTTCAAAACTCTTGAATCATGTGATATACCCTCCCTCTCCATTTCACTTTTTTCATACATGCATCAACATCCCTATCCATTTCACTTTTTTCAATTCTTTCATTTTTTTTCCATCAACGACCTAGCAAGCTTGGCAATTTCCTCCTCAACTTCTAGTGCCCTTGCATATTTTTTTCCACCAACTCTTTTGTTTCCACCAACTTCCTTATTTTTTTGAATGCCCCGAAGATTCTTTACTTGCACCTACATGTTCTGTTGCGGTTTACATTGGAACATCATCATCAAAATCATGGGCACTAAACTCTTCTACAAGACGAGGGAGAGTAGAAGATGGCCCCCAACTTTGAAAGTCGGTCGAGGTCAACCCTTCAAATAGTTGGGTGCAAAGATCAGGGAATAGCGGGGGCTTAGTTTTCAATGACAACACAAACCTGTTCAACTGTTTACAATTTTTATAAATATTAGTATTTGTTATAAAAATAATCATACTAGTATTTGTTATAAAAATATTACCTTCCCCTCTTCCTTCCATTGTTCATCGGTCAGATTAAATTCATTTTTTATAGGATCATATATATTGTCAGTTTTGTTTTTCAGTTTCACCCAAGCAACATACTTTGATTTGTAGTAGGAAAAGTGGTTTCTCATTTGCTTCTCATCAACCTCTTTACCGTGTTTGTTTAACAATTTTTCGCATATTGTCTTCCATGAACTTGCCTTAAGCCCAGAACCCTCACGACCATTAGTGGTTAGTTCGTGGATACATGCATCAAGAAAGGTTTTATCCTCACACTCGTTCCAAACTAACATCCTAAAACATAAATAACAAGCTAACATAAATATCTAAACATAAAACAGTTTTCTACCAATGAGATCAACATAATCCTAAATAACAATAGCATAATTAAGGTCAATAATTTTCTACCAATAAAACCATATACCCAAACAAGATTTCTGATTTCAAAGCATTAGAACAAACAAGATTTCTAATTTCATATCTTATACATAAAAAAAATTCTGATTTCATAGCTTATACATACACAATTTTGAGATTTCATAACATTAGAGCATTAGAAGAAACAACATATCTGATTTCATAGATTATACATAAAAATTCTGATTTCATAACTTATACACAAACATTTCCTGATTTCCTAAACATTTCCAGAGATTTTCGGATTTCAAAAATTATCCTTACCTGTCTTGACGATTTTGGTCGGAGAAGACGAACGAAGCTTAAACGGAAGGAGGGAAGACGTCCGACTGTAGGTAGACGGCGACGACTGAAGAAATACAGCGACGATTGCAGTGATTGGGACCTGTCGAAGGGGAGCTGTCAAATGGAGGCTACGCATTTTTCTTTTAGGTCAGTAGGAGGGAAGAAGAGATCGGGGGTAGGGAGAGTCTTTTTTCCCAGTCAGACGGGCCTTGCAAGTTGACCAATTTAGCCATTTCGGCCAGACATGCTGACCAAATCAGCAAGATCAAACAACCTCCGTCTGACTAAGTCAGCCGAAATCGCTGACTCAGACCCAATCAAACGGGTATCAAACACAACCTAAATCTTATCCGTGAGTTGATCAAAGTTAAACAGTCAAGCGTAAACCAACATACGCTCAATTTCATCCAATTAAATCGGTGAACTGAATCAGTTTGATCCAGTTATATAGCATCTCATCTTCTTTAATCTGTGTACCTTAATTACCAGCCGCCATCAATACCCTATACCTCACCAACCCCACCGTCGATGCTCACCACAACCATGATGCTACCTTGCTACTGTTATTTGAATTCCCCCTTAATCGGCCTAACCAACGTTTACAACTACCACCACTCGCCTCAAATGACATCACTCTACCATCGGTTCTTTATTTGATTTTTAGGTTCGTGTGCTTCCCTTTATTTTGGTTTTCCTTTGACTTTATATAATAACAAGATTTTTCGTGGATAAATGAAATTCGGGGTTCCAGGTATTTGGGTGTAGATATTATGTGTGAAAGGTATATGATACGATATTGATAACTATTTTTTGATGATCATGCATAGTAGGTGTTTGATAATATGCCTAAGAAGGTTATTTTCTCCTTCTACCTATTTTCATCTTCACCACTGCCTATGGTGTGCTTCACACCATCCTTCCCCATCAGCATGTTCATTTACTTCATTGTCATCTATATCTTATGCAAGCTTCAAAAGGAAAAGTAACAAATTGAAGTGCCCATATCTAACATAAGGTAAGCTTATATGATTTATTTATTTTCTTCTATTTTAGACATCAAATGATGTATTCTTGACTCTATGATTATTTTCAGTTTGATTTTTGATGAGATCTGCTTCTTCATCTTTTTAGGTTTAATGGTTTTGATGACATGTGTGGAAAATGATTATGCTTATTCTCCAATGACAGGCTCTGCCTTTTGATACATTCTCACCAAGTAAAAGCAAAGAAGATTTTAATACCAAAACTTATATCCACGATATGCAAGAAGACAAAATATGCAGTCCCACAAGATAGTTTGCAGGTTTTGGAACGTAGGGACATTTACTCTAAAAAAATTTACTCTAAAAAAACCTCTGATAACCACCACAAACTTACTCTTTTGTGTAAAGAACAAAGGAAAGAGAGATCTACAAACTTATCATGATTCGTTTTTTGGTCTTATTTTGCAGGAGCAATAAGATTTTACAATAGAATAAATCCCCTTTTAGATGAGCCATTTTATGAAAAAGGTAACATTTGAATGCTTTGTTCCTATTCACTCATTCTCTTGGGTTTTTCCATTTTTCATCACTAAGATGAACTTTAATGTTGTTGAACATGATGATGGGAGATGTTGATGTACATAGATGTTGGAGGCTTCCCCTTGATTTTTTTAGCCCTAATTATTTTTTTTACATGGCCTCGATGTAACATTCCAAAAATTTCAACAAATTTAAACTTTTCAAAACAACTCATTTACTAATAAAAGTGTTTACAAAACAACTGTTTCCAAAACATGATTTAAAATCAGAGTCTACCAAGATTCAATCAGTAGTAAAACCAATGATGTGTACGGTCATGCTTTCGCCTTGCCACAACCGTCTGAAGCACCTGAAACAAAACTGAAAATGTAAGCACAAATCTTAGTGAGTTTGCCTAAAGTACCACCACATACACATAACAAACAACAACATGCCTAACCAAGCCTTTAGCCTGATTGGACCGCCTCGTAGGGCCTACAACCTATCTGGACCGCTCCCAAGCCTTCGGCATGATTGGACCGCCTCGTAGGGTCTACAACCTATCCAGACCACTCATCGGGCCTTTGGCCTGACTGGACCACCTCGCAGGGCCTACAGTCTATCCGGACCGCCCCCAGTATCTTGGTCTTCAGCACAAAGCAAGACCGCCTCAATCCAACCATACATAACATGTCGACATATACATAACAGATAAATATCTAACCAATCAACAGAAAAACAGGAAAATCTATAGATCACTATCGCATGCTAACATCCCATATACTAGGATATCGATCTAACATATCACCACAACATAACAACATCCTATATACCAGGATACAGATCTAATAGATCACTATAGCATAACAACATACGGTAAACCAGGATATCAATCCAAAGGGCCGACCTTAGTGCCTTCGACCCGTAAATACAGTGAGGAAAACTCACCTCGAAAACCGGACAAAAGCTGATGAGGTCCCAACTCCGAATCCCAGCTCTCAAACCAACACCTACTCCAACCAAAAGACCAAACACAATCAAACTCCCCAAAATACCCTCAAGGTCCAACTTGGTCAAAGTAGGTCAGAGTCAAATGGCCAGGTTCCAAAATTCAATATCTCTTCCCAGCGGAGTACACCCTGCTTACGAAGAGAGTACGCTCAACGTACTCTGATGTTGACTAAAAGCGTGGCGCTGACCGCGTGCACGTAACGTACCATCTGTGACAATCCGAAATTTCTAGCTTGTATAAACATTCAAATTTATCAGAGTTAGTCTTGTTTGTTAACTTTTAGCCCTATTTGGAGTCTATTCGAGTATTCTAAACTTAGTACATCAAAGGAATCAGTGTTAGGATGAATTGGTTGAAGTTCTAGTCATGAAGCAAACCGAAAACCTCCTCAAAAAGGAGTTTTCGGTCAAGACCTTAGAGTTTTCGGTCAAGACCTTAGAGTTTTCGGTCAAGGTGACCGAAAACCCCATCCTACATATATATTTCATGATCATTTGGATCATTCTTTCCTTTTCAAAGCTAGAAACATCCATTTTCTCTCAAGTATCATAAGATCTTCTTGCAAATTCTCGAAAATGTAAGTGTTTCTTTCCCCTTGATTTGTTATTAGATCTTCCTAGCTAGTAACACCCTTCGATTTCATCAATTAACTTCATCTTTTGGGTTTGATCTTCAAGAACAACAAGAACACACACTAGTGTTTTGGTCCAAAATCAACTCTATTAGCCTCTAAATCGTAAGTATTACTTCCCTATACTTGTTATCTAGTTGAAACTCTTGATTTAGGGCCTTGAAATCGTCATTATCCAAGAACAAAAGGTGTTTTCGGTCTAGTGCATCTCCTTAGACCGAAAACCCTTATGAAGGGTGCAATATGACTTTAAGCCTTTCCTAATACTTAGTATTGAGTCTAGAACACTTCATTGATTGTTGAAAGCCCTTGGAAATCACCTTATGCATCAAAGACCATGGGTTTTCGGTCAAAACCATTTGGACCAAAAACCATTTGGACCGAAAACCATATGGACCGAAAACCACAAGAACCGAAAACCTCTTTGGACCGAAAACTCCTTTAAGTGGCTATACAACCCTTAGATGCAACCCTTGGTACTTCTAGCACTTGAATCAAAGTGCTTTCCATGTCCTAGGGTGTCTTAACTTGATTAATTAGTTGTTAGTTGACTAATTGGATACATATATGTGTTATTATATGTTAAATAGGATCCGTGTGTGTGCTTAAGTCTTCACTTGACACTTAGCATCCTATACCATCCGTTCATCCAAACCACTCACTACCGGTGAGTTCATACCCATTAATCAACCTTTTAAATGATTTTAAATGCTTTTATGGGGGGAATACAAGTAGATACATTATAGTTATTATATCAATAACATGTGATTAATGACTATCAAACATATGGATTTTCTTACTTTTCAAACTGGTTTACCAAACAAACTACTTCAAAATGTTTATCAAACACTTTTACATGTTAAACTCTTTATCAAACTTGTTTCTTTATTAAAACTGTTCAAAAGGTTTTACAAAACTTCTTTGTCTTGGAAACTAATATATTTTGTTAAATGTGTATCTATGTAGATATAGTTATATAAGTAGGATTCAAAGGACTTAGGACTGATAACTCACCTTACCTCCTGTTCCTCGTTTGGTTGTGGTCTTAGGGTATCGGTTGTTTGTCCGAAGGTCGTTTGAATTTTAGTTATATGTTATGTATATGTATATAGATACAAAATTTCCTTCTTTCAGTTCAATGCCTTTGGGTAGCAAAGGTATAGAAACATGTTTATTTATACAAACAACATTGCTAGTAAACTATAATAGGTGTAGTTTAGAAAGTTACAAATACTATTACTAGAACAATGAAACATACAATGAGTCAGTTCATTCATGAGTCATAACATATAGTGATGAGAAACAAACATAACATACTATTATGAGAAACAGAGAGAACATACATACATACTAGACAGAGAGAACATACAATACAGCTAGTACATACTATACATTATACAAGAGAACATACTATTATGAGAAACAGAGAGAACATACATACATACTAGACAGAGAGAATATACAATACAGCTAGTACACACAATACATATACAAGTACATTACAACCGTTATGTGAGCCACGTAACGGGGCATGGCATCACCTGCCATGGCTCGTTTTGTATGCAGAGTCTCCTAGAAGGAGAGCATTGAATTTGTGTATAGATCTATACTGGATTGACTATCCTACACCTTGCTGTTCGCTACAGTGGGACTTGCAAATCTACGGGTGCCAAATGTCATTTCTTCCGACGTCTTTTATCGTCGTGTTTTTAGTCAGTAGTATGGTACAGGCATATCACATGGTACTTTAAATAACAATTGGTTTAAGGTAGTTAGTACAGCAGTAGTTACTTAATACAACACTACAATACTATTTTATTTCCCCATTGCATTCACTTTGTGATCTTCTCACAATGAACAATAATGTAAAAACTATATTTTTGGTTAATGATAGTCAGATTTGGGAAAATACATACTCTTACAAGAGATATACTTACAAACATTTGATGCCTTGGTAGAAGGCTACTTTTAGTAGAAAACATAGGGTTTTC